TCCTGTTGTAACAAAATTAATCTTAAATTATATAACAATATACAGGGATTTATACTAGCAAAAACCTTAAACCTGTAACCATACACAAAATTCTGTAACAATGCAACAAAATGTAACCTCAATTTTGCATCAGAATATAAAGATCTCTACCAATGCAAGATTATGGGTATAAAATACTTTCTTATTGTTTTTTGTTTTGTTGGATTTTTTTGTTGTTGTTTAAGAGTAGATTCATGCTTTCTACTCCTTCTCTCTTGATTCCTTTCTTTCCCTGACCCCTTTCTTCATCTTTTCCTCCCTCCTTTCTCTCCATGAGTTCTTGGCTGGTCTCTCCTCTTCTCTCTTTCTCTGTCTTTCTCTGCCTCTCCATCCTTCTCAACTGCCCTTCCCATGCCCCCTAAATAAACTCTATACTAAAAAAAAAAAAAGAGTAGATTCAATAATCTACCTTTGTCTTTCTAATTTCTTATATTATTTCAATGCCCCCTTTTCTTTTCAATCCACTTTTCCTTACCTATGACAGAGAAGAGGAAAGAAAAGATAGAAATCCTGAGTCTAAGCTCCCTACTTAGTTTCCACGCTATCCAAGACCATAATTATTTGTAATCATCCCCTAAAGTAACAACATATCTCTATAACTTATAAAATGACCAAAACCATCATCCCCAACTTAAGGGATCAGAACCATGGTCTTCTTAAAATTTCTTCTTGCTGAATTGGGGCAAATAATTTCTGTTTGAGGGCCCAAAAGCAAATTAGAAAAGTGGTTAAGTCCAAAGAAAGCTAGCTGGCATCATTTGTTATATGGTATCTATGTGTTGAGAAAGTTCAGGGATTAATTGAATTCTTGACGGAAAAAGCCTGAAAGAGTGGATGAACCAAGGATTTCTGAGAATAGCAGTCCTCTCTGAAGCTAGTCTAGAAGCAAGTGTCTGGAAATAGCATCAGTCTGAGACAAAATCGATCAGGGAGCTGAAACAGTGTGTTTGTGCATCTCAGCATCCTCGAGGGTAAATCCTGTGAGGGCTACCCTTCTGGTCTTTCATTCTGTAATATATAAATCGTACTAGTAATATATAGTTCTATAAAGACATTGGTATGGAATGTTTAGGGTGCACAGATCAATTAAAGATGATTTTTTGATCCTTGTTTGAGCAGGTGAAAGATAACTGCCTATCTTTAGAAGTTAGTTTGTTCATATAACCAAGCTGTGATATGAATCTCCATTTATGCCATCAGAATGGAGGCTGGTATGTAATAACAAGTCATTCAAATTCTGTAGCCAGCAAGATTTATTGACCATGTGAGCTGAGGTTTTGGCTGGACACATATATACATCTCAGTCAGTTTCAGAGTTGTTTCAATAGAGGGTTTAGTAATATACATTACTAGTACATTTGGTCCTTTGGATTTTCTCCCGTCTGCAGCCCAGATCTTCAGGCACTCTCCCACTGAATAAGGGTCAAATCTGATCCTTATTACTTTGGAAAGAGTACAAAGCCTTTTCTTCTTTACTTTTAACACAAATATAGAATCTCGCTCCCAAAATCGCATGCCTTTGATCCAGCAACCCAAACTCATCGAAAGCATACAATCTAGCAGCCCATTTTTATTTAGGTCTGCTCTATTTTGACCTCTCTTACAGAGGATTTGTAACACCATCATAACCATTGAATGAATAACCACCTTTTGACGATTAAAACAATTTAAAGCAATTACTATTAGCAATTATTGAGACAGGGTTTCTCTGTGCAGCTTGGGCTGACTTCAGTCTACTCTGTAGATTAGACTGGCCTTGAGCTCATAAGGAGCCTATCTGTCCCTGCCTTTACCTCCCATGTATTGAGATCAAAGACCTGGATTTATCTATCTATGTGTGCTTGAAAATATTTATATCAATTCCCATTTTTTCTCCCATTTTTGGAGATTAATATCTCTGTGGCTAAATATCCTGCATTCTCCTTTCTCTCTGTATAAATTAGTATTCTTCTCTATATTCAACTTTATTTAAACTTCCTTTCATTTATTATACAATGTACTAGGTTGAGCCATAATCAGTTTTTCCATGGAAGCTCACATTTATAGAGAGTGGTTGCTTATACCAGTTGACATCCAGTTTTAAGTTAGCTCTCATGAGCTGGCGTCAGTTCTCTTACAGGAAGTCTGCATTACAAGGAGACACGTCGGCTTCTCAGAGTAGCTTGAGATTCTTCCCTATGTTAGCTCTTGTGAACGTAGCTTTTCTTTCTCTGTTAGATAAAAGTAAAATAATTTTGTCCCAACCCCAACTCTGGGTCTTCGTTGCCCAGCAGAATATATCTTTTCCAGGGCGCAATGCTTTTTAGCAACAGAAAAGCATAATTTTTAAATTTGAAATTATAAACATACCTTATGTGGATAAATATACCCAGATTCTCCTTTCTCTTTATATAAATTTAAGATTGATGTCGATTTTATTTTTTTTAAATTACTAAGGACATAACTAATCATTATTAAGCAAAAACCTATATAGTATTTTTAAGAAAAAAAATCAATCATTTTGATTCCCAGACAGTTCTTTGGAAGCAGCTATATCGATCAGCAGAGAGTTCTACCCTGACTTTATTGTGTAGGCAAGCCTGGTCCATAATTCAGAGATCGTCTAGGGCTGTCATTTTTTGTTTTCCTCAGAAGCTGTGCTTCGCCTGCAGGACTAAGCTGTAGTTCAGCAGCTGGGCTGAGTAGCCCAGGTTGGCTGCCATTTCAACTGTCGTAGCTCAAGGGCTCTGTTGCCTGGCATGCTGTCAGATTTGGGGGGTGCATCTGTGTCTTAGTTTATTCTGTGAATCCCTTGAATCATGTTTGCTAAACCAACATCCATTTTAGCTTGTCTCGAACCCTGAGTGGCTTGAGGGAAACCAATGTTGCTAAGGAACCATTCCCCTTCCTAGTCTTAAAGGAACAGCATGTGTTGTTTGTTATCTGGAAATCTGAGATCAATTTTGTTAAAAGTGAGTTCTTGCTCCATATTGAGCTTCAGTATGTTGTAGAAAATATTTAATCTCGATTGGGGATTTCTACCCTACTTTCATCATTCAAGTCCTGGATAAAAGAAGCGCACGTTTGTCATTATAATTAGCCTTAATTAGCACTAGAGCTGGGCAAATATCTACCTCTATCTTATTGTACTCTATTACCACATCATTAAGCCCAAGTTATAATTTGCCATGTTCCATCTGGGCAGCTCCTAACTCCAACTGGCTAGCACTCAGCCATGTTTTCATAACTCACCTACCCCATGGCAGCTTCCTCCTGTTTCCACTTTCTCTCTTCATCTCATGTTTCCCCTCAGACCCCAAGCCCAGGAACCCCAAACCTTGTGTCTTAGTTAGGGTTTAATTGCTGTGAAGAGACACCATGACCAAGGCAACTCTTATAAAGGACAATATTTAACTGGGGCTGGCTTACAGGTTCAGAGCTTCAGTCCATTATCATCAAGGTGGAAGCATGGCAACTTCCAGTCTGGCATGGCACAGAAGGAGCTGAGAGTTCTACGTCTTCCTCCAAAGGAAGTCAGGAGCAGAGTATGCGTCTTTAACCAGCTAGGAAAAGGGTCTCCAAGCCCATACTCACAGTGGCACACTTCCTCCTGTAAGGCCACACCTACTCCAGCAAGGCCACACCTCCTAACAGTGCCACTCCCTGGCCCAAGCATATTCAAATCACCACATTCCACTCCCTGGCCCCTAAAGAGTCTTTGGGGTCCACACCTAGCCATAGTGTAATGCAAAATACATTTAGTCCAACTTCAAAAGTCCCCATAGTCTGGAGCAGTCTCAACAATGTTAAAAGTCCGAACTTCAAAGCCTCTTTTGAGATTCATCCAGTTACCTAACTGTAATCCCCTATAAAATCAAAATAAAAAAGCAGATCACATACCTTTAACATCACAGGCTATACATTGCCATCCCAAAATGTCATAGTGAGGAAATACTAGACCAAACAAGGGAAAAAACCAGCTGGACAAACTCAAAACTCTGAATCTCTTGTGTGATGTCAAAGTACTCTTCAGATCTCCAACTCTGTTCATTGTTGACTACAACAAACTTCTTTCTCTTGAGCTGGTTCCACTCTTCGTTGGCAGGTATCCCACGGCTGTGGCATCTCTAACATCTTTGGGTCTCCAATGTAACTTCAACTTTACAGCTTCTTGTTCCAGTGTCTGAGATCCACACATGATGTGGGCTCCTCCAACAGTCTTGTATCACTTCTCCAGCTCTGTCCTCTGTATACCCTTGGCTCTGGTTGACTTCACTCCACTGCTGCTACTTTCTTGGTGATTCTATGGTACTAGCATCTCTAGCACACTTAAATCATCCCACTGCTTTCCAAATCCAAAGTCCTTCACATTCCTCCAAACAAAAATATGATCATGCCTGTCATGGCAATACCCTGGTCCCTGGTACCAACTTCTATCTTAGAGCTTTACTTGGTCATTGTAAAGAAACAATGACGAAGGACAACTCTAAGAACAACATTTAATTGGGGTTGGCTTACAGCTTCAGAGTTTCAGACCATCATCATCAAGGTGGGAGCATGAGAGCTTTCAGACAGACATGGCACAGGAAGAGCTAAGAATTCTACATCTTCATCCAAAGGAAGCCAGGAACAGTCTGGGCATCCTTAGGCAGCTAGGAGAAGGGTCTCCAAGCCCATCCTCACAGTGACACACTTCTTCCAACAAGGCCACACCTCCTAATAGTGCCACTCCTTGACCCAAGCATATTCAAACCACTACATTCCAACTACCTCAATTCTGCCCAACTAAAGCTGTAGGCATCTTTATTCACCAATCAGGGATAAGTTGCTGGGCGAGGTAACAAGTGTTATTTAGGTCTGCATGTGGATTCTCTTGTCCCTGGGGCAACCAGGCTTTGGGGAGAATATATAGTATTACAGTATGTAGCAAAAGACAAAACCTCAACAGAGTAAGACCCAACAAAGAGAAGCAATATACTTACCCATGAACCATAATGTATTTACTTGAATCGCAGCCAACATCAATTTCAAATACCTGAAAATGAAGTAATTTTACAAAGTGAGTTCAGCAGCTCTGACTCGCATGATCTGAGCTAGAGTTCGAGCCAAAGATGGTTATAGTTTAGATAAGAAAAGCAGACTGCTCCTCACTTGGTCCTTTTTGCTGGGGCAGACTCCTAACTTGTCTGCTCCTGTGAAGACACCATATCCTGACCTATCCTTAGAGAAACCACTGCACTCAGAGCAGCAGTGAAGAACTCTCCCCTACAACCCTACACCCCAGAGCTGCAGGTGGAGCCCGGCTCACTCAGGACCCTTCACCCACCAAAATCCTGTCCTCCTGAATACCACTCCGCTTCTGCCCCTCGATTGGTCCTTTTTGCTGGGGCAGACTCCTAGCTTGTCTGCTCCCATGAAGATACCATATCCTGACCCATCCTATAGGAACCACTGTACTCAGAGCAACAGAGAATCCACTGCACTCAGAACAGTTGAGGAAGCTGGACTCACATGAATTCTAACATGCCCAGGATCATAGCTCTGCACCCGATCCCACAACACCCAGAGAAAGCAGGGCTCCCAGGAGGTCTAACACGTCAAGGATCATAGGATTTCAGGATCCCAGAGGCAGCCTGAGTCCCAGGAGCTCTTCCACCCAGGAGCTCAGGATCACAGATACAGCTAGACTCTGATGAAAGGCTAAGGCAGACACGTGACAGGATGTTTCACTGAAGCAGACACAGGAGAGTGGACGCTCTACTAAAGCAAACACATGAAAGGACACGTGATGAAAGATTCTTTGTAAGGACATGCATGTATTTGTTGCCTTACACTGCATAGTTGAACTGTACTTGTTGGGACTCCATAGAGAGAAATGCATCAAAAAGCTTCTGGTGTGCTGCAGTTGGATGCACGTGCTGAGGCAAGACACATGGAGGACATGTGATGTTTGGACAGAGTAATAGAGACAGAGCTTGGCTCAATGGTATAGCTAGCTGTGTAACACTTATGGGACTCTCATCTTTGCTGACCTTTGCTTCCCTGAGAGAGACACAGCTGAGAACTTCTCCTGGTGTTCCTGTTGGTCCCTCCTGCTGACTGGAGCCAAAGCTGAGGCCTGGCTGTCTCCCGTAGGCCGTGTCACCACTGTTGCTAACCCGACTCTACCAAACTGGACTGATGGTGTATCTGTGAGGTGTTCCTGAATGGATCGAACTGTGCTGCCTGCTGACCTGTGATCTGAACTGCCAATTTCCAGGTGACATAGACAGGAGCTGCTCCAAAGACCCTTACTAAACAGGTCCACTTCCCCTGTATCCTTTCTTTCCCACTACGTCTGCTGAGTGGTGAAATACAAGGAAAGTTAAAGTGTTTAAGAACCATCATTAAAAATAGGACTTGAAAAACCGAAAGTTACAGTGCTCCCTTAAAACTCATAAAATCTTGCCTTGGTACAAAGAGTCCTGTTCTACAGCCAAAAGGAGACGCCTCAAAGCCCCACTCCACTTTCTACGTCTGTATTCCTCATGTGCTCGCTCTCTGTATAACGACTGGCTGTCGGTGACACTGAGATGGACTGACAGTGGTTTAGGGACTCAAAGCAGAGAACTGAGTACTAGTGTGGCTATCAGAACATTCTGGGCCTGTTTCTCATGTCAGTGCTGTTGGCTGTGTCTGCTCTTGGAGTCCCTCTGCCTGCTGAGTGGCTACTTATTCTTCAGTCATACATCTCACCTATTTTTTTTTTTTTTACCTTTCCCTTCTCAATCAAAGTGGCCAGCTTTCTGCTCTGAGCTACTCGGTAACTGTGCACCATGCTGTCTTGTTCCGGGTGTGCTTCCTGCTAGGGAGACCATTTTATAACTCCCCATCACCAAGTGCCCAGACTGAAAGCCAGAAGTACAACGGAGGCATAATAAGCTCTTATGGGGGAAAAGAACAACAAACAAACAAACAAATGGTCCCTCTGGATGAATGGACATGTGTAATCCTCGGGGCATGTCTGGCAGACTCCTCTGACAAACAGGACCCAAGTGCACTTCTCCCCATTAGTTTCAATTTCCCTTTGCACAATTGATCTTCAAACCGTCAAAGGCTAATTATGTTTCTCTTTTTTTTTGTATACATTAATCCAATCCTACTTTAGGGGAGAGGCTCACAGAAGGCAGAGTTTGTATCCTCTGCATTCAAACTAAAAGATGTCTGTTCCCCCCCCCCCCAGGAGGGCAAAGGACAGTGAAAAGATACTTATGCATTATTTAATTTACTAACTGCACATTGTTTTAGTGTATGTATATGTGTGTGTGCCATGCTGCAGGTGTGCCCATGTATGTATGTATGCGTACATGTATGTTTGGGTACATATTCATGTGTATACTTGTATGTGTAGACATATGGTTGATACCAGGAGTTATCCCCAATTGCTCTCCACCTGACTCTTGAAAGCATGTATCTCTGTTGAACTCAGAGCTCACAGAAACGACTAGTCTACCCACCCAGTTGTTCAGGGGATCCCCTAACTCTACCATCTAAGTGCTGGAATTTCAGGTGGGCTGCTATACCCACCCAGCATGTATATGAGTACTGAGGATCCAAACTCCAGTCCTTAATATTGTGTGGCAATAGCTTTGTTCATTGACCCATCTCCCAGCTCCTGACTATATATTATTTTGAAGTAAAAATTTGATTTTTCACCCAATGGCACCTACCGCTTTGGCTGTTGTACACGTTCTTGAAGACTCACTAGGTCGCAACTGGAAAAGTAAGAGACCTGTGTTCTTTTTTCTAGGAGAAACAATCCATATAGGTTATTGTAAAATGAGAACAGTGACAGGATCAACTGTGAAGTTCTATTGCATGATGGCCTTGACCCCTCTGAGGAGATAAAAAGGCTTGCAGGACGGCTAAGTCCATAAAGGTAGCACTTCACTCTGTACACCTGAACTCCTCTCCTTCTTTTGGGGCCCAACCATACCTCAATCAGATGTGAGGCATAGCAAGAAACAGAAGAGAGCATCCACCAGCATTTTAGTGGCATCTCAAATCCTTTTCAACTATCCTCAGTCCCTGAATACTGGGGTTCTGCATCTGGTTCTTTCTCCTGAATGGGCTCTTCCTTTTGCCCTATAGGGGTTCCTACCCCACTGGTAACACCTTTGAAACAATGAGGAATAATTCACCTCCTAACCACATTAAACTGTGTAAACTTATTTGCATGCCAAGAAAGGTTAGCTATAATGCCTTTCTTAGTCAGCAGTTGTACACAGATCATTATTTTGTGTTTGTGCAAAGTAGAGGTTGCAAAAACAACAGTCACAGAACTTCTGAAGATGTGATTCAGACACTCCCTAATAAGATTCTACTTTTGAGGGTGTTAGGTTGAACTAGGGAAAAGAATGGACCTAAGATAACTTTGTGTGCTCTACAATATAATTCTCAGCAAACATCCACAAATCCAAAAATTCCCAATGGGACCAATACCTTTGCTAGGTGCATGAGTTATTTTTCTGTGGCTCTGATAAGTGCTCCAACAAAAGCGATTTAAGGGGAGTGGAATCCGAGCTCTCAGTTCCTAGGTGCAGCCCATCATCATGAGGAAGTCAAAGCTGTCAGGAGCTGTCATACCCATATGCAGGGAGCTGAGAAAGGCGAATGCTTGTGACTGGCTACCTTTCCCTTCTTACATCCCAGGTGTCTCAGCCAGGGTTATTACTGCTGGGATAAAGCACCCTAACCGAAGCACCATGACCAAAGTGGAGGAAAGGGTTTATTGGGTTTACATGTTCACATTGCTGTTCATCACTGAAGGATGTCAGGAATAGGAACTCAAATAGGACAGGAATCCCCAGAAGGGGGCTGATGCAGAGACCACGGAGGGTGCTGCTTACTGGCTTGCTCCTCATGGCTTGCTCAGCCTACTTTATCCTAAAGAACCCAGGACCACCAGCTCAGGGATGACACCACCCACCATGAGCTGGACCCTCCCCCATCACTAATTAAGAAAATGTTCCACAGCTGGATCTTATGGGGGCATTTTCTCAACTGTGGTTCCCTCCTTTCAGATGACTCTAGTGGTGTCAAGTTGACAGAAACCAGCCAGCACACCTGGGAATGGTTCCACTCAGAATGGTCAAGTCTTCCCACTTCAGTTATCCTAATCATCATGATCCCCATAGGCATGTTCAGAGACTATCTTCCAGATGAATCCAGAATGCATCAAACTAACAGCTAGATTACCCATCACATAAAGCCAGAGAGAAGAGCCAAAGGGTGAACAGGAAGGGCCGATAGTACCTCTTCTGCCTACTGTGTACAAGGAATATTTCCTCTAGTTCTTTCTGGCCACTGCTCTGTCATCTTGTCTTTTCTTTCTCTTTTATAGTGTATGTGTGTGTGTGTTTACACATGTGCATTTGTATATGTATATGCACATAAGTGTTCTTGTATGCACATACAGGGGAATGTACATGCATATGTGTTCACATGTATGTGTTAGCGGAGACCAGAGATTGACATCAGATGTCCTTCTTGATTACAGTCTACCTTAAGTTTTGAGACATGGCTTCTTACTGAACCAGGACCTCATGGTTGAGCAATGAGCTCCAAGGATTGTCCTGTGTCTCCATGCCCCCAGTGCTGGGGTTACAGACATATAATACCACCATGCCTAGCTTTTATGTGGGTTCTGGAGGTCCAAATTCAGGTCCTCATGTGTATGTGGCAGACACTGTGCTGACTGAGCTGACTCCTTGGCCTGTTTTATTAACAGCACTTTTCAGCACTTGGAATTTTCTCATTTGTTCCTTCTTTGGTGTTGATTACTGGAAATAGGTTCTGATATGCTGTACTCCATCTTTCTGTTCACAGCTAAAGACTCTGTCTAGTATGGAGAGTTTTTCCTTTTGATTGAGATAGTATGTAGCGACTTTCAGTTAGGAATTAATGATAAAACATGCATGGAAATTATTGAGTTAAGAAGTAGCCTGTTTTGGTTTGTATAAGAATGACTTAACATCTTACATGTGCAATGAACAGCAGGATGGCATCATCAAGAGATGATGGACCGCTGGGCGGTGGTGGCGCACGCCTTTAATCCCAGCACTTGAGGCAGGTGGATTTCTGAGTTCGAGGCCAGCCTGGTCTACAGAGTGAGTTCCAGGACAGCCAGAACTACACAGAGAAACCCTGTCTCGAAAAAACCAAAAAAAAAAAAAAAAAAAAAAAAGAGATGATGGACCTTAGGGTGTTGGTATCCTTAAAGGGAAGCGTGGACCTTGGTTTTTTCCTCCTTGTTACCTGACTCATAGACTGTATCATGTTCTACTCTTGTTCTGATACTACTGCCTTGCCATAGTTCTAGAAGCAATGAGGTCTTTCATGTGTGATCTCAAAACTTCAAACTAACCCCTTTCTCCCTTGAATCTAGTTGCTTTAGGTGTTTTGTAACAGTTGCAAGGCAAGCTAAGATGGGGCAGTCTTGCCATCTTTAGGGGAGAGAAGAACAACCTTCAGACAAATTTTCACTGATTTATAAAAACTGTTTACATTTTAAAGGGGAAATACTAATTTCTTATAGTTTGAGACATGCGAAGAGTGTGGAGACCTAAAAGGGTGTGAGTTCATTTAAATAAAAGAAAAATACATATCAAATAATCAAATAACATTTAAAAGCCATACTTACTCTAAAGCATAGTAATTATCCACTAATTCGTAATTTGTTGTCTGAAAAAAATGTGTTATCTGAAAAGAAAATTGAAAAGTTTCTGTAGAGCAGGAAAGGTGGGAATGGGCCCTCAACTAGTATCATTTAGGTTTGTAGGTACAGATACACTAGACCAGTTCACAGTCCTCAGTGTTGCAGACCAAGTTCTTCCAAACACATTGTATACTTTTAGACATATAAATCTTGAGTAAGAAAAGCAATATTCTTAAGGTTTATTTTTTATCTATCTATCTATCTATCTATCTATCTATCTATCTATCTATCTATCTATCCTCTGTGTGTGTGTTGTGTGTGAGAGAGAGAGCAATAGAGGTGGAGGCATGTGTGTGCATGGAACACATGTAAAGGTCGGAGGACAGCTTGCAGGAGTTGATTCTGTCCTACCTTGTGTGTCCTGGGGTTCAAATTCAGATTATCAGGCTTTGTGTCAGATGACTTTATAGCCTGAGCTGTTAATGGCTCCTCCCCCACGTCTTTTCTCTTGTGAAATCTCGATTATGTATGTATTAGTTTACTTTGTTACATTCTTTACTCTCCTTTAACTTGGGGTGTGTGTGTATGTATGTGTTGCTTGTTGAAGCTAGAGAACAACCTCAGGTAGCATTCCTCAGGTACCACTCGTGGTGCTAAAAAATTTGTTTTTGGTTCTTTTATTTCATAGGTCTGCCTTCATGTTTGTATGTATGTGTGCTGTATGCATACAGTAGCCAGAGTGAGCATCAGACCCCTGGAACTGGAGTTACAGAGGGCTGTGAGTAATGCGGGTGCCAGAAATGGTGCCTGGGTTCTCTTAACCATGGAGCAGCCTCTCTAGACGGTCCTTCTCTCACTAGTCTGGGGCTTACCAGTTAGGCCAGGCTGGCTGGTGGTGAGCCCTAGGGATCTGTCTGTGTCTGATAACAAAATGCTGGGATTTAAAGCATGTGCTTCCAAACCTGGGCTTTTAAAATGTAGGTTCTGGGGATCAAACTCCTGTCCTTATGCTTTGTAGGGTGAGCACCTCACTGACTGAGCCCTCTCTCTAGCCTCTTTTAATTTTCAGTTATCTTGTCCATACTCCTCTCTCTCTCTCTTTCTCTCTCTCTCTCTCTCTCTCTCTCTCTCTCACACACACACACACACACACACACACACACACACACACACACACTTAACTTTTGTCACTGCAGTGCCCTTGTTTTGATTATTTACTTATTTCCTGAGTTTTGAAGACTATAATGTAATTTTCCTTTCTAGTGTTTGTCTCTGAGTACCATTTTACAAGTCTTCAGTGGCTATACATAGGTAGAATGTTGCCAGAACCCTTTCTTGTGTTCTCTTTTGAGTTCAAAATCCTTGTAATGAGTCTATTTCTGTCTCCTTTCCTGCATGAACATGAAATGTCAGTCTTCCACATTTCATGAGATCATGGTTGAGTGGGAGTAAAGACCATTCACAGAACAGATGTGAGAGTGGGGTGAACATCCTCACCCCACATACACATGTCCACTAAGTACAAAACTTAAATCCACATGCTGCTTCTGGGCAGGTCTCTGTGTTCACGCAGGTATGTATAGTCTTTTGGAAGAGATCACTTAAATGTGGTTCTTGTTAATGTATTTTGATGACACTACATTAGGTCCCTCTAAAAATTCTTGGTGATAAGATGCTGGATACTAAGGGGAACACCACAGAATATTTAATCTGATAATGCTGCAGCCTGTGAAATTCAGTGAGACTATGACCAGATTGATCCCTGCAAACTGCTCCTTTCCCTTATGAGTCAAGAGTGAGTTAAACTGATGATGATGTACTTGCTTATGAATAGTTTCCAAATTTTTATGTTTCCTTTTATGAAATGTAGCCACAGTCTCCAGTCTCCAAGCTTTGATGGTGACTGTCTTTGAAATGATGCCCAAATACATGTATAGTCTTAGATTACAAACACTGAAACTATGTTATGAATCTGCTTGGAAGTGTATTTTATGAATGTAATAGTCTATTTAAACCCTGTAGTATGAATAATGAATGAATCGTTGGTGTTTCCAGAATAAATGGCAAGCCTGGCAATACGTAGTGTAGAAAACACTATTAAATGTGTTAGTGCACGTTAAAAACAACAGAGAGGAGTCTTCCATGTGGAACAGCACAGCTAAACTGAACACAGAAACACAACTTAAACACATGAATATTTTGATAAATGCCAGATACAATTGTAACAACAGGTCAGACATGACAAGTGCTGTTGTGGAGAACTTACTAGAAGACATTGTGCAGATGTATCCCAGAGGGACTCAATAGATACACAAGAGAGCAGACTACTCATAGAGAAGAGTCTGAGAACGTTTAACATGTGACTAATGAGAGTTATAAGAGACAGGAAGAAAGTGATGGATGTATAGATAATACCTGATGAGATATCTGATACAAAGAATGATCTTCATATCCCCAAATCCCATGCAGAACTGGAGCAAAGAAACGTACCTCTACCCACATCAAACAAAAACTGCAGGAAGTACAGAATGGAACTGGAAACCCACCTAAGGGTTGAGAGTTAGCATTACAAGTGCTGGGACGATGGAGATGGCTCAGTGGGGAGAGAGCTCACTGAGCATGAGCACCTGAGTTTGGTCCTTCTGTGGCAAGAGGAGAAGTGGAGAGAGAAGAACTCTGGTGTGCACAGCAGGGGACAGGAGAAGAGTCTACCTCAAACAAGGTAGAAAATGAGGACACACTCCAGGTTGTCCTCTGACTTCCACATGTGTGACATGGCATGCATACCCATAGCCCAACTCACACACAAGATATTTTTTCTTCCACAAGTAAATATGTTTACCTCTTCTATGAGGTAAATATATTTTCATATAAACAATCACCAGTAGCCTTTCACAAAAAGATAGGTTAAAAGATGTGCCTAAAGCAGCAGGGTAGATATTTAGAATGGGGGTACTCAAATTTCAGAAGGAAAAAGACCAGGTAGATATTACCATTTAAAATATATTGCTATATAAAATTGTAATGAAATTTTTGACTGGTGATAAAAAAAAAGATGGACTTTAGATCTCTGACTATAAGAATATATAAGTTTGCCATTAGGCTCAGAGAAAGAGCAAATGGGAGATTCCCTCTGGGTTCTTTCCCTCAGAGCTCAGGCAACCCTACACAAGAGGGTGGGGGTGGGGAGGAAAGAAAGAATTGTACAACCAGAAAGGTTGAGGCTATCAGGAGAACATGGCCAGCAGAATCAACTAAGCAGGGCTCATAGGGGCTCACAGAGACTGAAGCAACAATCATGGAGCCTGCAGGAGTCTGTACTACATCCTCTGCAAATATGTTGTGGGTTTTAGCTTGGTGGGAGCAGGGAGTGTCTCTGACCTTTTGCTCGTTCTTGAGACCCCTTTCCTCCTACTGGATTGCTTCACCCTGCCTTGATATGAAGGTTTGTGCCTAGTCTTCTTGTAACTTGTTATGCTGTGTTTGATTGATTTCCCTGGGAGGCATGTTCTTTTCTGAAGGAAAACAGAAGAGTGGATCTGGGAGAGAGGAGAGGTGTGTGTGTGTGTGTGTGTGTGTGTATGTGTGTGTGTGTATGTGTGTGTGTGTGTTGGGGGTAGGGAGAACTTGGAGGAGTAGAGGCAGGGGAAACTGTGGACAAGATGAGAGAAGAAAAAAAAAAGGAATAAGCTTGTAAAAATAAAACACTCAATCAAATTTAAATTAATATAAATTAAATATTCATTCCATACCCTCTAAGAAAACCTGAGTATAAATACAGAGTATATAACTCTCAAGACCATGAATGAGAAAAATGAAGTGAAGAACCATACATCCTCTACTATGGTGGCTCAGAGGGTAAAGTTGCTCTTACAAACCTGATGACCTCAATTTGATACCTGGAATCCATGTAAAAAGCCTGATTTGGTAGTGTACATCTGAATTCCCAGCACTCCTAAAGCTAGATGGAAGGTAGACACGAAGGATTGCTCTCAGGCTCACAGGCCAGCCAGCCTGGAAGACGCAGAGCAGCAGCAGAAGTAAGACAGGCCCCTGTCCCAAGAGGGAGGAAGCTGAGAAGCAAATCCTGAAAATTTCTCTTCAGCCTCCATGACACATACAACCACCAACTGGATATATAATACACACACACACACACACACACACACACACACACACACACACACACACGTACTCCATAAGTAAAGGTAGATACAAAGATTAAAAATAAAAAGCACAAAGTAGAGATGTGGCTCTATGGTTTAGAACTCTTAACAGCTCTTGCAGAAAACCATAGTTCAGGTTCCTGAACTTACATGGTGGCTCACAACCATCTTCAGTTCCAAGGTATCTCATACCCTTTTCTGGCCTCTGTGCGTTCCTGCATGTACATGGTGCATTTAAATTCATGAAAGCAAATACATATAACTATATCAAATGAATAAGTAAATTAAAAAGCCCAAAATAAACAGGAGGTAAGCACCCTCAAATATGTTATTAATTGAATTAAAGGTAAAAAACTCTAACTCAGGGGTTGGAGAGATAGCTCACTGGTTAAGAATGCGAATCCTCTTCCAGAAGACCTAGGCTCAGTTCCCAGTCCTTACATGGGGACTCAAAACTTTCTGTATTTCCAAGAAATTCAATGTCCTCTTTTGGCCTCTGAGAGTATTTTAAACATGTGGTACATATACATACATGTAGGCAAAACGCTAATACACATAAAATAAAAATAAATCCTTTTCTAAAAGCTTGACTAGCAAGTATGAGTCTATTGATTGATTACAGTGTTTTCCATGTCACTTAATTTGTTTTAGTGATGCCATAAGCTAGCTGGATTTGGAAATAGTTGAGTGCTTCTATTCCATTGTATGAGGTAAGAGGCTGATTCATGTGTATATTGAGGAGGCTAAGCTGAAGAAGCAGAACTAGGGGAGAGAAGGGAGAGAAACTACCATGTGAGCTATTCTATGTTAAGGATGTGAAATGGAAGATGTAAAATGCTCATATTCTCAAATAAATTGTAATAGCAATATACAATATTCATATTGTATTATATGACTATATAGTAATAACATACTATTAATATAATGTTGTATAATACAATTGTAATATTGTATATTAAGAATAATACTGCATAACATTGAAATACAATAATGCATATACTTTCCACTTGTATCTATTAGTAGATGGTTTGTAAAGATGGTTGCACTAATTCTTTGCACTCTTGGGTGTATACTCATGTGCAGTGTAACAGAGTTCATCTGTTTAAGAGGTAATCTCTTTCCTTAAGTATTAGACTCCTCCAGGAGAACAGAAACAACAGACTTATTAGATTGGCTTCCATGATACAGTCTGGGTGGGTAGTCCAACAGTGGCTGTACTCAACACTCTGGAGAGAGTGACAGCCTGGCAGCTACTTTTAAAGGTGGCTGTTTTTGATGGGCTTATGCATTGTGGTCTAGTTAGTACAACCATGTTTGTCCTCCTATGAAGCGGCTGAGAGACTGAGAGGTGCGGAGTGTAGGAGGCTGGCTGTCTCAGCAGCCCTACTCTGGACTGAAAGTTTGCAGGTTTCCTGGAGAGCTGCCGGTTTTTTCATTCCATGTTGGAAGGACAAGCAATTTGGGTTCCGATATCAGCAATGACAGTGGTGGCATAAGAAACCAGTAGAAAAACTCAGTGAGAGCAAAGACAGGTAAGCAATAAGCAAAAGGGGTTCTTTCTGACTTGCCTATATCTGGGTCAAAACCCAGATGCGACCCACAATTCAGGCTCTCCATTTCAATGAACCTGATCAAGCAACATGTCTCACAGGCATGCCCAGAAACTAACCTAATGTAGATAACTCCTCACAGGTATGCAGAGTCCAGTGTCTCTCTCAGCTCAAGAGTCAACTAGCCCAGACTGGCTGTCTCCCAAAACAAAACAATAACAACAAACAAACAAACAAAAGACCCCCCAAACAACCTAATGTCTTTATATTTATCAAACCCCAAATAAAGAAATAAAAAAATACCAACTTACTACAGTTTTAGTACAGAATCCTGACGCAATCTCATAGTCAGTGTTTTGTGTCCAGCTTAAAATGTTTGAACCATAGTAATCCATAACAATAAAGAGTCCCCGATTTTCTGGGTAGACTATTTGACTCCAAACTGTCAGGTTTTCTCCTTTATCCAGAATGTAAAACTGACTTTTAATATCGTGTTGAAAAGCCAGATATGGGCACCAGTCTGCTAAATCTTCATTTATACTTTCTAACTCCAGAAATAAGGGATATGGCTGTATCTGCAACTGGTACTTGTCGTCGAGATTTTCATTATAGTGTAATAGACATATTTGATAAGATCTGTCGAAGTAAACTGTTGACTTTGCGGTCCTGTTTATCCATGTATGTAGCTGAGCTGCCTTTGTAACGTCAGTCTTGATGTAGAACAGTACATTATTTAACATTTTTACCAAAATATTTCCAATACTATCTGGAAAGAAGACAGAGAAATATTTGTTATTTAAATTTTCAACGTTTATTTGTGCGTATGTGTGTGGTACGTGCACATGAAGCACACGTCCAGAGAGCAGAGGACAATCTGTGGAATTTGGTTCTTTCTTTCTACCTTGTGGGGTCCAGAGATCAAACTCAAGACTGTCAGGCTTAGCAGCAAATACTTCTACCTGTTGAGCCATCTCATTCTCCCAGGATTGTGTTATATTAAGTAAATCATAAATCATGTTGCTTTATTGAAGTAGACTTTTAATGAAGATACTTTTATGTATAATGACTATCTCATCTATCTATCTATCTATCTATCTATCTATCTATCATCTATCTATCTATCATCTATCTATCTATCATCTATCTATCTATCTATCATCTATCTATCATCTATCTATCTATCTATCTATCAATCATCTATCTATCTATCTATCATCTATCTATCTATCATCTATCTATCATCTATCTATCTATCATCTATCTATCATCTATCTATCTATCTATCTATCTATCTATCTATCTATCTATCATCTATCATCTATCTATCTATCTATCTATCATCTATGTATGTATGTATGTATGTATGTATCTATCTATCTATCTATCTATCTATCTATCTACCTATCTACCTATCTACCTATCTTGAGAAGAATTATAGTGAACCACCATGAACCTTTGCACTCATGGAAGGACTTTTTATTCTTGAGTACATTTCTCTTCATATTCACAATGCCTCTTTTATAAATCATACATACACAGCGTTTTAGGTAAAGAATAAGAACATGGTAAGGACAGCACTATCAGGGAGGATGATGTTACAGTCAGATCTGTGTGTCCTTCAAGTTCGAATTGTGGAGCCTTCACACTGGGGAACAGAAACTTCAGAGACTTCAAGAAGGTTATTCTAGTTAAATGAGGTCATAAGCATAGGACACTAACGTAGTGGTACTGGTATTCTTGAAAGAAGAGGCATACACTTACACTCTTTGGGGAGATCTCTCTCTATCCCTATATACATACATACATACATACATACATACATACATACATACATACATAATACATACATACATACATTCATAGGAGAGAGAGAGAGAGAGAGAGAGAGAGAGAGAGAGAGACCCTGTGAGGACACAGTGAGCAAGAATCTGTCTGTGGGCTCACTGGAATTCATTACTGATGGATTTCTGATGGTGCCTAGATCCTGAACTGGCAGAAATATGAGGTTGTTTAAGATTCCCAGCCTACGGTATTATGTGAATCACCATAGTAGAACAATGCATTCCTTATTGGGTTGGGAAAATGACCAGCCTTCTCACCTTAACAGAGTGCTTTGCCTAAAACAGGATTGGTCTTTGGCTCTGTTGATGTCTCTGGCCAAGCTGGATGTGCTGATTTCCCAGCTCTCTTTCAAGATGATGCCATTTGTATACCTTCTGTGAATATGCCCTTTCTACTTTTCCAAAGGCAACCCTCAGAGATGACTGGGGAAAGTAAGGAGGTGGGCTCATGGGGTCAGGGGTCCATGGTGCTCAGTGTATCTTACATTTAGAAGCAGAGTAAATCACTAATTCATAAATTAGCATAAATAATATACTGATCAAATCTGTATAATCAGAAATGTATGCACTAGATCAAAGGTGGGATGGAAAAATTTGTGTGTGGATGACATAAAAGATCTCTTTGGTGAATGGTTAAGAAAGTGTAGGATACAATTTTATGAATCTGCTCACAATTAAAATCTCTCCAAACAAAACAGTAGATAGGCTGGAGAGATGGCTTATGGGTAAAAGGCTCCTACCACCAGACATGATGGCCTGAGTTTGGTTTTGTAATCCACACAATGGAGGGAGAGAACCAACTCCTGCTGACTGTTCTCTGGGCTCCAGAAGCTCTCATATACCCCCGCCTACCCATGATTTTAAAAAAGAAAAGAGAAAGAGAGAGAGAGAGAGAGAGAGAGAGAGAGAGAGAGAGAAACAGGCTGTTTTCTGACAAGCTCAGATGTCAGTCCCCACCTTCCATTTTACTGGAGATATTCTGACTGTTATTGTTTGCTACTGTATGTACCAGGCTAGCTGACTCAGGAGTTTCTGGAGATAGTCTTGTCTCTACCTCCTATCTTGCCAATAGCAGATGTGTACTACTGTTTCTGGCTTGTGTGGTAAGTGCTTTACTCAGTCCTTATTTATAGCTTTTAGTGAAGATAAAGAAGGCTAAGAATAAGTGAGCCAATCATATCACTTAAGAACCAGCTACAGGCCTCCAGAGTTACAGACAAGGGCTGCATGTGAGGAGCTGCTCATGATAAAAAGATAAAAAAAAAGTGTGTGTGGGGAACTAAATAAAAAGAGAAGCTTTGACAAATAAAGTTGAGTTATTTTCAAAATGGGAAAAAAGGAAAACCAAACACACACACACACACACACACACACACACACACACACAATGTTTTGCAATAAGACAGAGGAGGGATGGTCTCAACAAAATTAAAGATGGCAAATAGCATATCATTACAGGCTCAGAAGAAATGTGGGTGTTCAGCTGAGAGGCCCAGGCCCAAGAACCTACATGATGGGAATTCTAAAATGTGCAAGGCTTTAAAACTGACTTAAACAGGATGCTGATCAAGCAAATGTGGGCTTGTGGGAGAACAGGACAGTAGGATAGGGCACATCTGGCAATGCTGCTAAATGACAGTGAAGTATATGGCTATCATATGCTGGCTTAATACAAGGTTCATTGACATAAGCCTCGTACTGAGGCTAGGCTGATTCTATGACAGACTTCAAATCGGTAGTTAAAGAGACAAGGCCTAAAAACTGGGCAAGTCAAGACAGGCCCAGACAAGTCAATTACTAACAGAAAAAAACCCAAGCTCCAGTCTTGACAACAATGTAGTGTTCCAGCCACCTGGCCTGAAGCAAGAACAACGGGTCAGCAGCAGTTTCCAGACTTCCTCAGCTACTTCCTCAGTAACAGTTCCCAGACCTCCCCAGCAACAGTTTCGATCCTCCACACCTCAGTAATGGAATGTCTGTAGAGATGAACCCAATATAGAGGTCACCTACCCCAGAATTCCCTAATGTGCTTTAAATTGAAGAGGTCATCTCAGAGCCTTTGGAAAATTCCATCAGGCCCCCCTCCCTTCCCACAAGGGAGAAGTCCTTAGAACAGGTAGGCACCTTTCCCTTCTGAAAGGGAAAGGCTGAATCATATTCCTCAGGAGGACAAGGTGTGTGTGTGTGTGTGTGTGTGTGTGTGTGTGTGTGTGTGTGTGTAGGGACTGATACTTGACCACCTGCAGATAAGGGAAGCTCAGAGCAAATAGACACATTCCTCAGGGCTGGTAGGCAAGGAAAGCTCTTGCCACCGCATCCCCTAAAGACCAATCAGTTTAAAAGTCACACTGTTCTGCCAATCATATTGTGCCTAGTTGCTGTTTCTCTATTCTGCCCCTGTATAAAGGTTCGCAAAACAAGCTGCCCAGGGTCGCCTCTCCTTTTGGATGCAAGATAACCCCAGCATGCTGGAACCATAAAGTTCCTCGCGCTTTTGCATCAATCCCCAGTTCTGCATTGTTCACTGGGGGCAGGGGTTGTCTCCGGTAAGTTAAGGCTTGCCAGTGCCTTACAAAATCAGTGCCTACAAGCTCACTTGGATGTCTCTCTTTGAAATGGGAGACCCCAGCAGGCTGGACTTCTGCAGAATAAAGCACTCTTTGTGTTTACATACTATTTGAATCTGGGCTATCTTTCTTGGGTGAATCATGTACCCTTATAATACAAAATATCTAAGAGTATCGGGAGCCAACTCCTAGCAGAAAACGGCTATCATCTTTGCAGCCATCTCAGGCCATGTATTTGAAGGTTGATACTTTTCCACCCTGACAAGAGACTTGCAAGCAGCCTACAACAGCTGAGCACACTCTGATAAACATCTTGTTTTGTTGTTTAGCGCCCCCAACTGCAAGGCACTGGTTAAGTGTCTCCAGCTGCACTCCCGTGCTTGTGCTTACATACCCATGATTTTCTTTCACTAAATAAGACTTGATCAGACACTCTGCTTGGCTCCATTCTTCCTGTCTCTTGCCCCTCTATTCACACTCTCTCTCTTGCAGACCCCGTTGACTGACCTGTGGGCCGGGTCATAATAGGATGAATAGAAAATGTGCAGAATGTTCAATAAGCACAAACTAGGTTTAACTCGTACACATAGGAGCTCTATGTAGTACAATGGGAGTCACACATGCCCTTTCTATCTGTAGTAATTATCAAACACTTGATAAAAAGAGTTTTTCCCCATATTTGAAGGAGTGTCACTCCCTCTGACTTTCAATGTTCTTCTGCTCTTTTTTCAGAGTAGTTCATGCTCTGTTCCCCTCACCAGAGCATCTGAGGGCAGTTTCTGACCTACTACCTTATCCCACAGTCTGTTCCCTAGTTCTCTCAGTAATACATCATCTTCTTCTTTTTAATTTTGCCATCTGAATGCTGTGTCTTTAACTTCACAGTCGACCTCTGACATTCTGTTCTCTGCTTGGTCTACTGTCCTCTGTGGACATTTCCACCCATTTCATCTTATCCAAATCTCCACTTCCTTGCTGTGTTTCTCATCAATGTTGGTTTTGTTGTCTTCTATTTCCTTCTTTGTTTCATTCATTTGCTTATTTGAATTACCTTTAAGGTTACTGACTGAAAACAAAACAACAAAAAACTAGGTTCTTGAGTCCTTATTTGGCATTTCAACTGCTTCAGCATCCTGGACCCAAGTAAGGATGAGTTCAGAGAGAATGTCTAGTGGGGTGTTTTCCCCTTTTACTTCATCTGGGTCTCCAACCTGAGGGGTGGCATTGCATTACTCAGAGGATGCATTTCTCTGTAATCCTACCTGGAAATACATAGGTGAGTGCTTTACTAATCTCCTTACGTATCCCTTAGTCAGCTCAGTGATTATAATTAACATCAAAGTCCACTTCTTGACAAC